GCTGTTCGGGCCGCAGCACACCGCCTGTGCGTGTGCGAGACCAGCCCTGCCCCACACTGTTGCAGGCAGTAACCAGGGCGCCTCTCTCCATATGGCTTTCATTACAACTTCATTTCATTAGGAAACCAGTGGGGGTATGCCGTAGCATTACAGAAATTCCGGGGATGGGTCCTACCACGTTGCTTACAAACCCAGCAATGCCTCCTTCCAATATTCATCAAGGAAAAATAAACTCGTGGGGTGATCTCATTTCCTTTTTTTTTTCCCCAAAGACTGGCCAAGAAGCATCGTTTGAAAATCTGTGCTAGAGATGGGAAGGAAAACACTGCGGAGAACAGGGGCGTGTTAGGATTAGATAGTGCTGACAAGGATGTATTGTTAATGCCACTTTCCTTTCCCGGAAAGAGCTTTCAGACTGTATTAAATATTGTCAAAGTGGGGCCGGCGCTGTGGTGCAGTAGGTTAAGCTTCTGCCTGTGGTGCCGGCATCCCATATGGGCACCAGTTCGTGTCCTGGCTGCTCCTCTTCTGATCCAGCTCTCTGCTATGGCCTGGGAAAGCAATGGAGGATGGCCCAGATGCTTGGGCCCCTGCACCTGAGTGGGAGACCTGGAAGAGGCTCCTGGCTCCTGGCTTTGGATCAGCTCAGCTCCAGCCGTTGGGGCCATTTGGGGAGTGAACCAGAGCATGGAAGACCTCTCTCCCTGTCTCTCCCTCTCTCTAACTCTGCCTCTCAAATAAATCAATCTTAAAAAAATATTCTCAAAGTTTATTTGAACATCATTTGAAATGGACCCCAGCGTTCTTGGGCTTCGTTGGTCGTGGTTTAGAAGTAGAGACAGTGAGTGGGAAAAAGGCTGGTGGGGGCTCCTTGGAGTAACAGGAAGGATCACACTGGACCCCTATGCACAGTTATGGGCTTGGATGTCAGGGTCATTGGCTGTGTGGCCTTGGGAAGGTCCGTCGAGTCCTCAAGCCTAAGGTTGTCATGGTTACGGGGTGGAAATTGCAGCTCCTGCAGCCCAGGCACGCGGAATAAACGCAGCAATGGGTCAAAGCCCTCGGCCGCATTGCCAGCACTCCGTCCCTTGGAAAAGGCGGTGGAGAGGGCACGTGGGGGGTCAGGGTCGGGAAGGATGAGACCCTGTCTCAGGAGTCACAGAGGCAGGACGCTGTGGTCCAATGTCCAGAATTTCCCCGCGGTCACAGGGCCCCGTCCCCCCTCGGATTGCTACCATTGCTTCCCCGCCTCCCTCCTGCTTCCACACCTCACTTCAAGGGCCTTTTAGCCTTTCTGGATACCTTCCTCCTTTTTTGATTTATTTATCTGAAGCAGTTACAGAAAGAGAGGGAGAGGAGGAGAGGAGAGAGAGGTGTCCTCCATCCACTGGTTCACTCCCCAGATGGCTGCCAATGGCTGGAGCTGAGCAGACCTGAGGCCAGGAGCCGGGAGCTTCCTCTGGGTCTCCCACGTGGGTGCCGGGACCCAAGCACTTGGGCCATCTTCCACTGCTTTCCCAGGCCATAGCAGAGAGCTGGATTGGAAGTGGAGCGGCCAGGACTCCAACCAGCGTCCATATTGTATGCCGGCGCTGCAGGTGGCACTCCACCCTCTACACCACAGTGCCGCCCCTCTAGCATCCTTTTTAAATGGACTCTTCCACGTCTCTGGATTTTGTCCTCTTTTCTCTTCGCTTATCTTTTTCTTCTCCTAATTGTTCCATCACTGCCCCCCGATCTCCATTACCCCTTCTCTGCCATTCCCTCTTGCACCCTGTATGAGCTGTTCGCGGTGGGTGATCTGGACACGTGTCTGTGCCGTTCCCGCTGCCTGCCTGTGCACTCTCCTCCCCGAGCCCAGCCCTCGGCTTCTTCCAGCCATCGTGATCTGTCTCAGCCGCTAATGTCTGTTCCGAGGAGTGGACCTGATCGACTCAGTGACAAGGGCATAAAACGCGTACAAAGTTGGGGGCTCTCTTTTTCCTGCAGGTACTAAAATTTCAATAAAGTATGAGCCCTTTAGACTGAGGAATAAATCTGGAATAATAACTTCTGACAATAAAAAGTGATGGAGCGTGTTTTCTTTGGGGGCAGGAGACTTTTCCTGCCAAATACACTTACTTATAAAAGCTGCTCTGCTTTGATTTTTAAAATTTTTTAAATGACACTGCCTTAAAATGTATTTATTTATTTGAAAGGCAGAGAGAGAGAGAGAGATCTTCCATCCATTCCCCAAATGCCCACTATAGCCAGCTAGGCCAGGCCAAAGCCAGGAACTAGAAATTGAATCTGGGTCTCCCCTGTGGGTGGCAGGGACCCAAATATTTGAACCACACCTCCCAGGGTGTGCACTAGCAGGAAGCTGGATGGAGAGCAGACACAGAACATGGGATGTAGGCACTCAAAGCAGCAGCTTAAGGCCGGCGCCGCAGCTCACTAGGCTAATCCTCCGCTTGAGGCGCTGGCACCCTGGGTTCTAGTCCCGGTCAGGGCACCGGATTCTGTCCCGGTCGCCCCTCTTCCAGGCCAGCTCTCTGCTGTGGCCAGGGAGTGCAGTGGAGGATGGCCCAAGTGCTTGGGCCCTGCACCCCATGGGAGACCAGGAGAAGCACCTGGCTCCCGGCTTCGGATCAGCGCGGTGTGTCGGCCGCAGCGGCCATTGGGGGGTGAACCAACGGCAAAGGAAGACCTTTCTCTCTGTCTCTCTCTCTCTCTCACTGTCCACTCTGCCTGTCAAAAAGTAAACAAACAAACAAACAAACAAAAAACCAGCAGCTTAACCACAGTGCCAAATGCCCACCCTCACTTTGGTATTTTAGGCTACGAAACAAATTCAGACAAAGCTAGAGTCAGATTCAGCCACCTTGTGGCACATGGAAGTGTTTCAGTTGAATCAGTCCGGGGCTCAAAATGATTTAATTCCACAGAGATTGTGTGCAGCAGATGTAACCGTTCATTTCCGGTAAAACAGTTCAATGTAGATTTTTCATTCTTTTTGTGTTTTACCAACTTTTATGTACTTTAAGGGAATATGAAGTCCATTTTATATATTCACAAATGGCATGAACCTAACAAAGGCCTCACGCACCTTGGCAGTGCCCTGGTGATGTGGGGATTGCACAGCCAGGCCACTGTTCACTGTGGGCCGCACGCTCAGGCTTATGTTTCTCAGTGGCCTATAAAAATATTCGACCTTTGTGGTGGGCACTTGGCCTAGGCGTTAAGATGCCTGCATCCCGTATAAGAATACCGGGGTTCAATTCCCAGCCCTAGCTCCCGACTCCTGTTTCTGGCTTACAGCAGACCCTGGGAGGTAATTTCGTTTCCTGCCACCTGCATGGGAGACCTGGATTGAGCTCCTGGCCCCCCAGCTATTGTGGGCATTTGGGGAGTGAGCCAATGGATGGAGACTCTTTGTTGTGCCAGAAAATTTTTTGGACCCTTAAAAAGATTGGTTCTCAAGTTTGAAAAATAAAAAAAAATTACTAAATGCAGAATTAAAGATCTGTAAATCAAAACCTTCAATCCATTGGCTCCTGCCCAATAATCCCATGACTGTGTATACATTATACTTCACGTGGGAGGTGGATTTGGTGCGGCGTTTGAGGTGAGGTAGGATGGGTCTTCCACTGGGGGGGGGCACAGCCCCCCGTGTCAGAAATTAGAAAATCTGAATCCAAGTGGAAAAACAGGAAACCACTTCTCCAGAATAACAGGACTTTCCAGGCACACATGGAGGCTGGGGGCTGGGTAGAAGCCGGGACTTTGTGCTTGCCCTGAAACAGCTGAGTAGGGCCCCAATATCGCTGCAAAAACAACCCCACGTGGAGCCAGCCATTTTTATCAGAGTTCCTTCCGGAGAGCGGCGGCTCCCTGGAGGCCCCAGGATGCTACGGACTGAATTGTGTCTCCCTAAATTTGCAGGATGAAGCCCTGATCCTATGTGGGAGACAGGGCCTTTAGGAGGTGGTGATGGTGAGGTGAGTGTGTTAGCCAGCTTCTTCCCACTCTAAAGGAACGCCTGAGGCAGGCTCATTTTATAAAGGAGAATGGTTTAATTTGGCCCACGGTGCGCCATCAGGCAGAGCTCCCACTGGCTGGGCCTCTGGGGAAGGTGATCTTGCTGCCGCCCAGAGATGGGTCATGTGCCTCGTCTGTATCTGTCAGTCATGGCCCCACCCGAATGGCCTCCTTCAGTCTGGTCACTTGGTCAAGCCCTACCTGTGACTGGATGAAGTTTCCACCCTGCTGGTGCCATTAACATCACACCTGGGGAACAGAACACCTGCATTCAGGCAGACAAAGATTCAGAACATGGCGGTGAGGTCGAGAGGGTAGAAACTTCAGCTGATAGAACCTGTGTCTCAGCCAGTGCTGCGGCTCACTAGGCTAATCCTCCACCTTGCGGCGCCGGCACACCGGGTTCTAGTCCCGGTTGGGGCACCGCATTCTGTCCCGGTTGCCCCTCTTCCAGGCCAGCTCTCTGCTGTGGCCAGGGAGTGCAGTGGAGGATGGCCCAGGTCCTTGGGCCCTGCACCGCGTGGGAGACCAGGAGGAAGCACCTGGCTCCTGGCTTTGATTGGTGCAGCGGCCATTTGGGGGGTGAACCAACGGAAACGGAAGGAAGATCTTTCTCTCTGTCTCTTTTTCTCACTAACTCTGCCTGTCAAAAAAGAAGAAGGAGGAGGAGGAGGAGGAGGAGGAGAAGAACCTGTGTCTGAATAGAAGAGGCTAGAGTGCTCCCTCTCTCTCTCTCTCCTCTCTCTCCCAAGCAGACACAGCTGGACTGATGTGGGCATGCCCTGGGCTCACAGCTGAACTTCCGGGGGGGGGGGGGTTGGTGCTTCCTTCCCTGCCCTTCTCTAAGCAGCATGCAGCGTTCTCGGAATACGTGACAAATTCATTCTTCGCCAGTATCCATTTCAAGGGCCACCGAACCATTAGCCACCCCACAGGCCCTCTCTTTGTGCCAGTCTGGGCCAACGCCATACCCTTCATACCTCAATGTCATAGCCGATGCCGTGGGCCTTGCACATCTGCAGAAAAACGTAGGGGAAGACCAGCGAGAGATTGTTGTGCTGCAGCTGGGTGGTCATCACTGCATAGCGGCTCGTTGCCTTCGACTGCAAGAGGCCACAGGGGCTTGTCAGACTGTTGAACACATATTTAAATCGGCTCTTAACTTTAGAATAGGTGGAGATGGACAGAAAAGTCGCAAAGATAATATGGAGAGCTCTGGTATCCACCATACCTATTCCCTCCACTCTGTGCATCTGTTGGCATGGTGCAACTGTCACAAGTATGGAACCAAGCTGTTGTATTGCTACTGAGGCCGTACTTTGTTTGGATTCCACTGGCTTTTCCCCAATCCCCTGTTTCTGTGCTGGGGTCCTACCCAAGGTACCACGTTCTATTTAGTCATCCCGCCTCCTCGGGTCTCTCTGGGCTGTGACTGTTTTTCATACTTTCTCTGCTTTTGATGATCCTGGCAGTTTTCAGGAGCACTGATCAGATATTTTGTAAAAGGTCCTTCGATTTGGGTTTGTCTGGTGCTTTTCTTTCTTCCTTGCTTTCTTTCTTTTTGACAGGCAGAGTGGACAGTGAGAGAGAGAGACAGAGAGAAAGGTCTTCCTTTACTGTTGGTTCACCCTCCAATGGCCTCTGCGGCCGGCGCGCTGCAGCTGGCGCACCGCGCTGATCCGAAGCCAGGAGCCAGGTGCTTTTTCCTGGTCTCCCATGGGGTGCAGGGCCCAAGCACCTGGGCCATCCTCCACTGCACTCCCGGGCCACCGCAGAGAGCTGGACTGGAAGAGGGGCAACCGGGACAGAATCCGGCACCTCGACCTGGACAAGAACCCGGTGTGCCGGCACCTCAGGTGGAGGATTAGCCTAGTGAGCCACGGTGCTGGCCTGTCTGGTGCTTTTCAAACAATTAGGCTGCAGTCTTATGTGTGTGGGTTTTCATATTTTTAAATTTATTTATTTGAGAGGCAGAGTTACAACAGTGACAAGGAGAGACAGAGAGAGCTCTTCCATCTGCTGGTTCACTCCCTAAATGGCCACAACGGCAGGAGCTAAGCTGATCCGAAGCCAGGAGTCAGGAGCTTCCTCCGGGTCTCCCATGTAGGTGCAGGGGCCCAAGGACTTTGGCCATCCTCCACTGCCTGTGCAGGCCATAGCAGAGAGCTGAATCGGAAAAGGAGCAACCAAGACCAGAAATGGTGCCCATATGGAATGTCGGCGCCACAGGTGGAAGATTAACCTGCAGCACCAGTCCCTCTTGTGTTTTTGAGAGGAAGAGGTACACTGCTGTTTTTCATCAGTCAAGGTCAAGGCCACCCACAGGACTTCTCATTGATGTGCATCATCATCATTTGGGAAAATCAGCTTCTGTTATCACAGCAAACACTGCGCAGTTTCCTCTGCTGGAAGATACTCCCCACTCACCCCACCCCCAACACCACACCCTTTAGAAGCCTTCTGCAAGTGGACCCGCCTTTTTAAGGTGGCCTTTTAATACAAGTTCTTTTCTTTGGAAAACTATGATTCTTTACTGTGCTTGCCTCTCAGTGGGAGCTATCTCAAAGAGACTGGGTACAGAAGGCCCCAAGTATTTTGGTTATGCATTTCCTAAAGCCACTGCAAGTTCATCCGTGTAAAATGACATATTAGGTCCTGGCAGTCGTGTCCCTGCCCTTTGTGAGCCGTTGACAATCAGCCCTGTTCCTCCTTGGAGAACTGGAAATTTGGAGAACTGCCTGCAAGGCATGGCCAACCTGACGACAGAGAGGAGGTAGGAGCCTGGTCAGCTCTGGAATTTTGGGGATCCTCGTGTGCTGGGCAACCCCGTGCCAGGAATTGTGCTGTGGCTTGGAGCCGGGGAAGGCAAAGGAGGCGCCGCTCATCCGAACCTGGGACCGCAGGGGCCTGGCGCTCACCTGCAGACACACCCGAGGTAACACCGGGGAGCTGGGGCTGACTGAGTAAGTCCTTCCCCTCCTGCACGCTGCCCCCCCACATACACACACACACACATACACACACACTCACACACACACACACACACACTCATATACCTGAGGTAACACTGGGGGAGCTGGGGCTGAGTAGGTCTTTCCCTCCTGCACACTGCTCCCCCCCATACACATACATATGCACACATACACACACACTCACACACATACACACACACTCACACTCACACACATACACACACTCACATACCCGAGGTAACACTGGGAGTGCTGGGGCTGACTGAGTAGGTCCTTCCCCTCCTGCACGCTGCTCCCGACCCCTCCCCACATGCACACACATACACACACACGCACACGCTGCTCCCCCCCACATACACATGCACACACACACATTCCCATACCTGCACCCACACACATACACACACATTCCCATACCTGCACACACCCACACACACTCATACACCACACATACACACACACTCCCATAACCACACACACTCATACATACACACTCATACACACACGCATATACACACATTCCCATACCTGCACACACACACACTCATACACACATGCATATGCACACATTCCCATACCCACACACACACACACATACACACACATTCCCATACCCACACACTCATATACACATACATGCATGCACACACACATACCCACACACATACTCATACACGCACATGCATACACACACATTCCCATACCTGCACACACACACACACACACACATTCCCATACCTGCACTCACACACGTACACGCACACTCAGAGTTCATGGCTGCCTTTGGGGGCATCCTTCTCCACCACGCAGGCTTTTCTCTCCACATTTACATCAGCACTGTCCCCAGGGGGCACACCATCGGTCCCATTCACTGAGGCTGCTCTTGCTACACGGAAGTAGAGTCCACATCTCCAAACGTGTTAGCCCATCTCCGGCTAAGGCACTCTGAGTTATGCATCTCCACTGCTGTTGTCCTATTTGTAGCCACTGGGACTGTAAAAATACATATTTATTTATTTATTTGAAAGGCAGAGACAGAGAGAGATCAATCTTCCGTCCACTGGTTTACTCCCAAAATGCCCACAACAGCCAAGTCTGAGCCACCCCAAAGCCAGGAGTCAGGAACTACACCTGGGTCTCCTATATGGGTGGCAGGGGCTCAAGTATTTAGGCCGCCATCTGTCGCCTTCCCAGGCTCATTAGCAGGAAGCTGGAGCAGAAGCTGGGGCTCGAACTGGCACTCTGATACGGGATATCGGTGTCACAGTGGCGGCTTAATCCTCTGTGGCACAAAGTTGATTAAAGATTTTCTTTAAAAGAAAATATGTTTGACCTTCCTAACCTGGTGAGTGCACATTCTTAGCACCTTGACTTATCATGAGCGGCCCTCCTGGCTGTCTCCCTTGCATGACTGGGGCAGGCACTGCTCAGTGTCTGAATCTATAGATCAGGTGTGATGCTAACACCAAAAAGGCATTCTGTGTTTACCAAACAGGAGAGAGAAAGAATGAATATAATAGATAAGGTGGATAGTACACTCCCCTCTGACTTAAGAACCTCTTCAAAAAGTGTAAATTCTGGGGCTGGTGCTGTGGCATGGTAGGCTAAGCCTCTACCTGAGGTGCCAGCATCCCATATGGGTCACAGTCGAAATGCAAGCACGGGTATGCATTTGGCCTAGTGGTTAAAATGCCTTGTAGCTGGCACTGTGACGCAGGGTTAAAGCCCTGGCCTGAAGAGCCGGCATCCCATATGGGCGCCGGTTCTAGTCCCGGCTGCTCCTCTTCCAATCCAGCTCTCTGCTATGGCCTGGAAAAGCAGTAGAAGATGGCACAAGTCCTTGGGCCTCTGTACCCACACGGGAGACCCAGAAGAAGCTCCTGGCTCCTGGCTTTGGATCAGCCCAGCTCTGGCCATTGTGGCCATTTGGGGAGTGAACCAGCAGATGGAAGACCTCTCTCTGTGTCTGTCTGTAACTCTGCCTTTCAAATAACTAAATAAAATCTTAAGGAAAAAAAGTATAAAAGTGCTTTGAGGTAGAAGCAGGTGATTTTGTGAAGGCCAGAGGATGGTCTCGCCATTCCCAGAGATGCCAGCCCAGAGCAATCTGCCCAGGCCTCGCCCCTAGAGGACAGTGTGGTGCAAGGAGTCAGAATGATAGCTGTGGTTTATCTGGTTCCTGGCACTGTACTGGGTGTTCATTCAATCACCAGAAGCCAGAGACAGAAAATGATACATTCAAGAGAAGTCACATGGAGTAAGTGGCCCGGCCAGGTTTCTAACTCCAAAGAACTTTTCCACTACAGAATTCTATCTGTGTCCTCACCACCAGCTCCCCAGGTCAGACAGGTCTAGGGTGTGTTGGTGATGGGGATGGGACTGTCCTCTTGTTTCAGATTCTTTACGAATCACAAGCCCGGGCTGGGGTGTGGGGAGCTGTAGTCTGCATGCCTAAAGCAGAGGAGACCTCAGGGCGGGCTGCCCTCACCTGGTGTCCTGTAACCAGCTCAGACCAGCCAGGGAGCCCTCCTGCGGGACGTGGGGCCAAGATACACAGCTCGGAGCTGGACGCTAGCTCCGGGCATCTGCCTGCCTGTCTTGCTGACTGTGACCTCATCTTGTTCTGCTTTTTTTGTGACAGCGTAAGACAAGTTTAGAAGACAAAATAACCTTGTGGGTTCATGGCAATTATTGCGCAATCACACGCTCAGTAAGCAGGATGGAGTTCCAGCGTATTTACGGTTCGTGTCCCTGTGCAAATGTGCAGGCTTCTAGACCTTTGCCGGGAAGACAGGCGTGGGGCACAGCCTGGCATGCAGAGTGAGCAGGGGGCCGGCACTGTGGTATAGTGGGTAAAGCCACTGCCTGCAGTGCCAGCATTCCATATGGGCACTGGTTCGAGTCCCGGCTGCTCCACTTCCGATCCAGTGGCCTGGGAAAGCAGTAGAAGATGGCCCAAGTACTTGGACCCCTGCACCCACATGGGAGACCTGGAAGAAGCTCCTGGCTCCTGGCTCCTGGCTCCTGGCTTCAGATCGGCACAGCTCCGGCTGTTGCAGCTAACTGGGGAGTGAACCAGCGGATGGAAGACCTCTCTCTCTCTCTCTCTGCCCCTCCTTCTCTGACTTTCA